GTCACGCGGGGGACCCCCACTGCCCCCAGTCGTGCCCAGCTCGCACCGAGACGACGCCGCTTTGCCCAGCGTATCAGCGCGACCAGCTCATGAACTTTCTGAGCGACGGGGAGACGTGCCCAGTGCAGCCCGTCAACCGATTTTTGTCGTGAGCGCCGTCCGTGCCTGATTCTCAGGGCCTAGGGGTTAGAGTACGGCTTGCGGAAGTCAGTAGGGGTACCGTGGCGTCGCCGTGGTGGCCCACCGCCGCATGCACAGGCGCCGCGTTTTTTTTCTGTTTCGCGTTTTTCTTGGTTCACATGCACACACATGCACATGCACATGTGTGCAGTTGTGAGTTGAAGGGCTGGCGAGGGTACGGAGACCACGCACCTGCTCTTCACAGCTCAGAGCTTTGCCTGGCGGGCAGAGCAACCATGCCGTGCAGTGACCAGTCGTGGAGAGCGAAAAGCACACCATCATAATGTGCTGAAGCAAGGCAAAGCTTGCGTTGTGAATCGGCTTTAAAAAAAGCAAGGGAAAGCGACCGTGCGTCCCCTTTTTCCAGAGACGGATATCCGCCCCTGAAAAGCGAAGCGTGGACTCAGTCTCACCAGGTTGAAGGGTACCGCCTCTGTTCCGTTCACACCACAATGCGTAGCGTGCTCCCCGGCTCGGCCCCCGGCGGGCAGATCACCTGCACCGCACCTCCGCCCGGGAGGGTAGCCACGAACACCGTGCCGGGAGTAACTCCGTCGGGCACCACAACCTGCAGCGCCTATCCGCAGCAATGTGTGTGAACGGACGCGGACGGCACCACCCCATCCTGCGGCGGCGGGCGGCGCCGGCTCGGGGGACGGCGGCGGCGGCGGCGGCGGCGGCTGCTGCTGCTGCGGCTGCTGCGGCGGCGGCGGCGGCGGCGGCGGCGGAAACGGCGGAAACGGCTCGAGCTGCGGTGGGCTTGCCGACGGCGGACGGGGCGGCGCCAGCTCGGCCGTCAGCTCGCCCCTCTCGCGCCTCCGCTCCTCCTCGAGCGAGTCTCGTCCCGCCTATTCCCACACCGTGCGCTGTGAACTGACCCTGCTCACACGCCTGCGAGAGTGCTGTTCGTTGCTCTTCCCGATGCCCTTCTCTCGCGAGTGGCTATCTGTGTGCCTGTGTGTGCTCCTCTCACTGCAACCGTCTCCCCGCCCAGCTATGGATCGGTCCTCCTCAACGTCCGGTGTCCGGTCACTCTCGTCAGACGGTGTGTCTTCATCTCTCACTCTTCTCTGTCCCGCCTCCAGCGCCGCACGGATATTGCGCGTGTAGAGCGAGGACGACTTTCGCCGTCGCTCGGCCGCCTAGGACTAGTTGTCGATTCATTACGAATTCGCTGATTGAGACGGTGCTCGCGCGGTAGCTCGGCCGCCTCGAGCTGGCGCGCCCAGAGCACGTTGATCAGCGCGTGCGGGCTGCGGCGCTGGTAGGACCCCGCCCACCGCAAGTCGCTCTCTGAGCTGCTCGCCTGACGAGAGTAAATCACTCCGTGACTTGACCAGCGACCCCGCCCGCCGCGACTCGCTGCCCGCGCTGTGCTCGCCGCCAAAACGGCGTCGTGCTCGCGCAAGTACCGCCGCAGCTTGGAGGGAGAGTGCATGTGGCCGAACCGGTGGCGCGCCAGCCACGCGTCACTCGGCGTCTCGTACTGCGGGTGGAAGCAGACGATGCCTGCCTCGATCAACCTCGGGTGAGACCTCGGCGCTTGAGCGACCACTGCGGGCGGGGATCGCAGGACGGCGCCGAGTGTGCGTCCCAGCCCCGCCGCCAGCACCGACGCCTCGAGGAGCGGGAAGACGGTCCTGTGCCACTCGCCCCACCTGCGACCAAAGTAGCAGTGGCAAGCGAAGAGTAGCAGCGGATGGACTGTTACTGACACCACTCCGCCCCGCCTGTCGTCCCACGACGGCGCGGACAGCACGATCGACGAGAGGCTCTCCTCCCCGCCCTCGGCCATGCCGCACGCGGCGGCCCAGAAGTCGACGAGCAGCGAAGCCACCTATCCGCGACCCACACCGCCGTGAACAGACGCTGCGCGCCGACGCCACAGGCTCGAACACCAGCCAAGGCGCCTGTTCACACCCACGCTGTGAATGGGTGCTGTTCAGCGGCTGAATTGTACGATGAGCAGCGCGGGCAGCACCGAGCCGGCCTCGCTGTGCGCGTAGGCGATCGGCGCGGGACGGACGCCGAACGACTCGAGCCCGGAGCCGGAGACCTCTGCCGACGCCGTGTACGGGCAGAACCGCAGGCCGAGCGGGCTGAGCGTGCGACGCACCCACGCCGCGGTACGCGATCTAGCGAGCTCCTCCGGAGGCAAGGCAATCGCGGAGGCGGCGGCGGTGGCTGCCGCGGCGGTGGCGGCGGGCGGCGGCTCCTCGCTGGCGGCGGTCCTCCTCAGTCCTCGCACGGGAGCGTCGCCTGGAAGCGGCGCGAAGCCGCGCTCGGAGGGAGGAAGCAGCTCCTGCATCTCGAGCAGATCTGACAGCGCGCGCTGGTCCGCCGCCGGCAGCGCCAACGTGCCGCTGCCCTCCGACAGCCAGCGCCAAAACGCGTACTGCTGCCGGCCTCCACGCGGCTCGCCACACCAAGAGAGGCTGGCGTCGCTCTCGGCGGCGAGCCAGCGCTCTGTTGCAAGGCGGCCGACTGGAGAGGCCCTGAGCGGCGCGGGCAGCAGGCCAGCCGTCGCGAGCGTCACCGGGGCCAGCTCCATGACGAGGCCGCCCGGCTCTCGAGGTCTCTTGGAGCGAGCCCCGCGTACGCCGTAGTTTGTTTTCTTCTGGGTGTGTGGCGAGCGAGCTAGCGCTGCTTGCAACACATATGGCGATGGCGCTGAGAGGTTCCTCTTTTTTTATAAAAAGGAAGCATGGCGATGAGGAGCAGCGAACAAGTAGGGACCCTAGCGTGGTTTTATACCAAAAGGAGGGCTACACGAGGAGAGAGAGAGAGAGAGAGAGAGAGAGCTACTCGAGGCCCTCTACGCTGGGGCGCCGGCGCCTTACTGGGCGCCCCCCGCTCCCTTCCCCTTAGAGCCCCCCATCCCGCTAGCCCCCCCCCGCGGTCCCTCGCGGCCGCGCGACGCCGCACCAATGGCGCGCTGTGCCTCGTCCGCGAGCGCCGTCCAGAGCTGCACCGACAGTCGCTGCAGCGCAAACGGCATCCATTCGCGCGCCGACCACGACGTCTGGTCGTACTGCCACCACGTGAGCTTCCGGCCCGCCACCTTAGCCACCCGCATCAGCAGCTCCTCCACCCCCGCGCTCATTGCGCCGAACTCCTCGAAGAGCAGCGCCTCCACACGGCACTTCCCCTCTGCGTCCGTGTACTGGCCCTTGAAAGCCTCGACCGTCCCGGTCCCCGTCCGCGGGTCCCACATCCCCACCCTCCCGCCCCTGTCCCCGCCCTCCACGCCCAGAACCGTCTCGCGGGCGCGTGGCAGCGTGTTGCCGCAAGCGACAAACGCCCCCATGCGCCCCACCCCTTCACCCTTGGGTTTCTTGCCGTCGTGCCTGGGCATCCCAGCTGTGTGCTGGTGCGGGTCCCCACGGGTGAACCCCACCCCCGAGGGGTCCAACGGCACACCGGCAAAGATCTTCAGCGGCGCGGCCTCCATCGCTCCCGCCTCGGCCAGAGCTCGATGGCGTCCCGCAAGCGCGCTCGCACCTCCTCCTCGTCCTCCTCTGGCGTCACCGTCGTGCTCGCGGGCAGCCCCTTGGGGTCCAAGATGGCCGCCTTCTGGCGCGCCGGCGACCTCACCGACGTGGTGGTCACTGTCGAGGGCCGCTCCTTCCCTGCCCACCGTCTCGTGCTCGCGGCCGGCGCCGAGTACTTCGAGAAGCTGTTCAAGTCGGAGTGCCGCGACCGCGAGGCCCCGACCATCAAGGACGAGCTGCCCGCCGCCGCCTTCGAGCCCCTCCTCGCCTTCCTCTACGAGGGCTCGGTCGCCGTGGCCGAGGAGCTGATCACGCCGCTGCTGCACGCGGCGGACTACCTGGGCGTCGAGCCGCTCAAGGAGGCGGCGGCGGGCGCGCTGGTCGCGCGCCTCGCGCCATCCAACGCGCTCGCCACGTGGGCGCTCGCCGAGCGCCTCTCGCTGCCGAGTCTGGCCGAGGCGGCCAAGCAGAACAAAGAAGAGGCGACGGGAGGAACCGGCGGAGGATGCAGTGACGTGAGACACACACACACACACACACACACACACACACACACACACACACACACACACACACACACACACACACACACACACACACACACACACACACACACACACACACACACACACACACACACACACACACCGCTCACCCACGCGCACTGGGCCTTGCACTTTGAATGCCGTGGGGCTCCTGTCGTCAGACGTGGAGACGCGAGGGTTGCCCCCCCTTGCCCCACCACCTCGTGTGTGTGGAGAAGTTTACCTTACCTTACCCTTACCTACACACACACACACACACACACACACACACACACACCGCTCACCCACGCGCACTGGGCCTTGCACTTTGAATGCCGTGGGGCTCCTGTCGTCAGACGTGGAGACGCGAGGGTTGCCCCCCCTTGCCCCACCACCTCGTGTGTGTGGAGAAGTTTACCTTACCTTACCTTACCTTGTAGCAAACCGACGTGCTCGAGCTGCGGAGTGGGTCGCTCGCGCGCGCTCGTAATCTGGCCTTCTGGCTCACCAGCGCTGTCTCCCACCAACCTCCAGCATGGCCACACATGACGAGGACGACGGCTTGTGCGTGCTCTGCTACGCGCAGCCTCGCGTGCTCCGCTATCGCCCGTGCGGCCACTGCGTGGCGTGCGAGCGCTGCGCCATCCGGCACGTGCTCGCACAGCTTCAGGCGGGCGAACTGCGGCCGCGCTGCTCGCACGGCTGCGGCGCGGAGATTGTGGACGTCTTGCGGGTCGAGCGGGCCGACCCGCCGATCTTTGAGCGCGACGAGGGCAACGCAAGCTGTCAGCCGGGCGCGCACAGCCTCGAGGCCTTCCTCGAGCGCGCGGCGCAGAAGGTCCTCCGCTGCAGCGTGGCGCAGGACGCGAGCCAGGCGTGGCTGCGCCTGCGCGAGGCGGCCGGCGCGCGGCGGCAGCTCGCCTTCTTCGAGGCGGTCGAGGCGGGCGACCTCGACGGCTGCGTCGCGCTGCGTCGCGCGGGCGCGTCGGTGAGCGCCGCCGACCGCCAGCAGCTCCAGCCGCTGCACATCTGCGCGCAGCTCGGCCTGGTCGAGCTCGCCCGCTGGCTGGTGTCGGAGGGAGCGGCGGTCGGCGCGGTCGCGAACGGGCAGGTCGCGCTGCACTTTGCGTGCGTGCACGGCGAGCTTGTCTTTGCGCAGTGGCTGGCGGAGGAGGGCGCGGACGTGCACTGCCGCGCAGACAACGGCGCGGCGCCGCTGCACGGCGCGTGCCAGGAGGGGCACCTCGAGGTTGCGCGCTGGCTGCTCGACGCCGGCGCCGCGGTCGACCCGCCCGACGAGGACGGCTCTGTCCCGCTGCACGCCGCATGCCAGGAGGGGCACGCCGAGGCGGCTCTGCCCCCGCACCACGCCCCTCCCCCTGCCCCCGCTCTCTATCCCCGCCGCCCGCCCGCACTCGCCTCTCGCCATCGCCCACCCCACCGCCGTTCGGAAGGCTCCAGACGACGAGCGTGACACGATTGCGAGCGTGATGACACGATGCGAGCGTGACACGATTGCGAGCGAGCGTGACACGATTGCGAGCGTGACACGACTGCGGTAGGTGGCGCAGCTGCTCCGCGAGCGCGGCGCCGACCTGGCCGCCGCCGATCTGGACGGCCGCACTGCGCTGCACTTCGCAAGCGTCAACGGGCACCTCGAGGCGGGATGCCTTACCCGCAATGCCTCAGACAGCCCCGAGAGCGCAGCATGCCTTGCCAGGGCAGTGCGCCGGCTTCTGTCGCGCGCCTCTGTCGCGCGGGGCGGTGCGTGCCCTCCTGCTAGCCAGCGCACGCCCTCCTTCCTTGGCAGGTCGCTCGGTGGCTGGTTGGCGAGGGCGTCGCGGCGGACTCGCGCGATGCGATGGGCAGGCGAGCGCTCGATGACACCGTGCCTTGTCGATGACAGATGACTGCTTACTTGCTCGTGCTGGGGCAGGCGAGCGCTCGACTACGCATGCTTCAGCGGGCACACGGCGGTGGCGCGGTACTTGTGCGGCTTGGCGAGCGGCGCGTGCCGGACGGAGACGGAGTTGCGGCTGGTGCTGCGACACCCGCGCCTCAAGCTCGAGCAGTACACCGAGAGGCGCACAGCGCCGAGACGCGCCGAGACGCGCGGAGATGTGCCGAGATGCGCCGAGATGTGCTGAGATGCGCGGAGATGTGCTGAGATGCGCCGAGATGCGCGCCAAGATGCGCCGAGATGTGCCGAGATGCGCCGAGATGTAGCACACCGAGAGGCGCAGGCATTTCACATCCGCATGCCGTGGGGCTCCTGCCTGTGCCATGGCCGTGGAGAGAGGAGAGGGGTCGCCAAGCAGTCGCCCCACCCGCAGCGTGTGGAGGCGTTCGCCTTGCCTTAGGCTCGTGATCGGAGGCTACTGCATCTCAGCCCTGCAGAGGCTCGCGGCCACCGAGCTGAGAGCGGTGGGGATCGAGGGCGGGGCGATGAAGCAGGGGCACGCTGCCAGGCTCGCGAAGCACTTTCACGAGGCGGTGGAAGAGGTGGCGGGCAGCGCCGTCGCTTCGCTCGGCGAGGGGATATTCACCGGGTTCTCCCTCGATAGGACTGAAGGGGGATGATGGAGTGCCCTTGTCATCCGCAAGGCTTTTTTGCGTTTCTGGAAAGAAAGAAAAGGACGCGGGGGCAACTCGAGGGCAGGAAACCGGCCTGCGTTTCAGCTTTCACAAAGCCCGCTTCTTCTTGTACCTCTGTGTGTGTGTTTTTTAGTGCCCCAGTGTGCAGTCCCGTGCCTCGTGTCGTGCGAGGGAAACAAATAAAATTCTTCTTTCGGCCATTCTTCTTTCGCCACACGCGTGTGTGACTGTGAGTGAGTATTCTTGATACGAAACCACGACGACACACACCAGTCGACTCGCATCGGTTGCCTCCATGAACGGCGGAGCTATTCTCGCGCCCACACCACACCTGGCTCCAACGTTATGATGTATCTTATTCCGGGGCCCGTGTGCGGGGAGCGAACCTTAGCGACCGCCCAGAAGCTTTCTGAGCGACCCAATCGGGCCGGGATCATCAGCATATGTCCCCTCCACAACATCGTGGGCGTTTGAGCGGTATTTGAGGACCACCGCCACTCTGAAGTTCGGCCGGGTGGTCTGCAGACCCCGTGAGGACCTCTGCTGTGAGGACCTCTCACGCTCTCGCTGGCAAGCCTCGGCGTGGCCACGCGCTCTGACCCCTGTGCCACGGCGCTCACTCTGGCTTCGGCTGTCCACCATCTCGCTGCCTGCTTGCGTCTCGCGCTACCTCGCTCCACCCAGGACCACCGGGTGGGTAGCGCGCGATCAGAGAACAAACACCGGTAGTTATAGAGAGGAGGAATATGAGAACTACTGTCTGTCAATGTGTGCATGTTTTGTTTGTTCCATTCGTTGTTTTCTTTTCGACGGTAAAGTTCGCTGTAAAATTCTTTTTGCGCACCTCTGACAAGTCCGGCAAGCGCACCTCTGCTACGAGGACCTCTGCTGCGTGAGGACCTCTAAGACTGTGAGGACCTCTCACGCTCTCTAAGCCTCGGCGTGGCCGCGCGCTCTGACCCCTGTGCCACGGCGCTCTCTCTGGCTTCGGCGTTCCACCATCTCGCTGCCTGCTTGCGTCTCGCGCTACCTCGCTCCACCCAGGACGACCGGGGAAGCGCGCGATCAGAGAACAAACACCGGTAGTTATAGAGAGGAGGAATATGTTAACTACTGTCTGGCAATGTGTGCGTCTGCGTCGCACTCGCGCAGTGAAGCCTGTCCCGTTTCTCTAAAATTCCTAGTGTCGTGTGAGTGAGTGAGTGTACACACACACACACACACACTACGGTCGGCTTGTAAAATTCTTTTTGCGCACTCTGACTAGTCCGGCGCCGGCTACAAGCCCGCAGCGAATCCGCCTGTGCCGCCGATGCGCCTGCGCGCCGCCGCCGCCGGCCTCGTGCCCTTCCTCCTCGTCGCGCTCTACTGGCAGCACGCCTCCTCCAGCGCCGCCGGAAGCGACCGCGCGCTCGTGCGGCAGCAGGTGCAGCGCACGGCGGTCGTGGCGGCTGAAGCGGCGGCGGTGGCGGCGGCGGCAAAGAGCTCGGCCGCAGCCGCACATGCGACGGCGGCACCGCCGTCGGCATCCACAGTCGCCGCCAAGGACACACCCGCGCCAAAGCCCGGTGCGGTTGCGGCGGCGGCGACGCCGGCGGCGGCGGCTCACATCGTCGCGCCCGCGGCGGAGGCGCGAGACGTGGCGCTTGACTGGGGTCCGCCGACGCTGAGCAGCAAGCGCATCATCGACGGCTCGCCAAACTATCTGCCGGTGCCCAATGCCGAGGGCCCGGCGCCCGATGACATGGCGTGGCGGAAGGAGGTGTCGAGCGACCCGTCGGTGCCATGCCCGGCGGGCCGGCGGCCGTACCACACTATCCTCACCGCGCAAGGGTCGCTCTACCAGCAGTGGCAGACAAAGATCTTCTACTACCACTTCCGCAAGCAGCAGGCGGCGGGAGGACGCTGCACCGAGATGACTGGCTTCACTCGGCTGCTGGCGGGCAAGCCGGACGAGCTCATGCCGACCATTCCGACAGTGGCGGTGCCCGAGGCTAGAAGCCGAACACACACGCCTTCTTATTCCGACGAGCACTCAGAGGGCACCGCACTCAGCTGCATTCAACCGCATTCAGCAGTATACGCTGTGTCCGTACCCCCTGTATCCACGCCGGTGCTCTTGAGTACGCTGCACGATACCGTATCCACACCCCGACCTTGCGTTTGTGGTGTAGGTGCCCGAGGCTGGGCACAACGTGACGCGCGGGTTCCCGGTCATCAACCGGCCGTGGAGCATGCTCCTCTTCATCGACATGAAGGAGTTTAGGGAGCGCATCATCGAGCGGTACGTCTACATCGCCGAGACCGACCATTTGCTGCGGCACGACATACCGAACCGCGCGCCTGGAGCCGAGATGGAGCCGAGATGGAGCCGAGATGTAGCCGAGGTGGAGCCGAGGTGGAGCCGAGGTGGAGCCGAGATGGAGGAGGTGTGCCGAGATGGAGCCCAGGTATAGACGGACCACTTGCTGCGGCACGACAACGCCCGACCGCACGCCACGTCCGGCCGTGAGCAGGCGCGACGCCGCAGCTGGCCGTCGGCTACTTCTTCCCGTACATGTCGCCAAAGGACCCAAAGTCGGGCGGGATCGCGCAAAAGTGGCTGCCGGACACGAAGGTTGCGGACATGCCGCCCGTCGGCCCGTCGCCGATTCTGATCCACGTCGCCGATTCAGAAGCTGAATACGTATTCTTGTATCCAACCAGCACTCGAGAGGACACCGTACTCCACTGTATTCAGCTGCTTTCAGCTGTATTCACTGTATTCCTATCCGTTGTATTCACGCGGTGCTCTGAAGGCACTGCGCAACACCGCCCTGATGTTGGTGTATTCAGCACGTAGGTCGACTTGCTCCGCGCCGTGACGCCGCTGTGGTACGAGCTCTCGTGGAAGCTGAAGCGCGACCCCGAGGCCAACGCCGCCTACGGGTGGATGCTCGAGATGTGGGGCTACTCGATTGCCGCGGCGCGCCTGGAGAGCCTTCCCTTCGTCCCCAGTAGTAGATAGGCGCAACACACAGACACACGAGCGAGACGCTGCCCGGTGCGTGTCGGCATGCGTGGCCTGGCCTGCTTCATGGCGTCGGGCTCGGCCGGTAGGCGCGCCTCAAGATCAAGCACTTTGTGTGGCAGCGGATCCAGATCGAGCCGTCCGCGGCTTGGCACCAGACGCTCTCGGAGCGGGACGGCGATTGGGCCCCCGCGGTCGATCCCTTCATCTACCACTACACCTTTGGCGTTGAGTATTTGTTGGATGGATCCCCAGTGGTGGGTGGCAAGGGCACGTGGTCGCTGGACAAGCGAAACTACTTCGGCGCCGCGCCGCCGCCCGACCTCAAGGCTCCGCCAGAGTGCGCGCAGGAGGCGGGGCGCGTGTGGTGGGGCATGTTCAACGAGGCGATCGGCAACCTCACCAAGGAGGGCCAGTGGTACGGCCGCACGGGGCAGAGCACGCGCTCACGCACCAGCGACGAGAGCACCGAGCTCGAGGCGGCGATGGGGGCGCTGGGAAAGGAGCTGGTGGACGGCGGTCAGTGGCTGATTGGCAACGAAAAGGCGCCGCTGCAATTCTTCCGGCGGGGCAAGCTGTGGACCAAGTGGGGAGGGGGCACGTGGAGGGTGACTGGCGGCACAAAGGTGGAGATGCAGCTCTGCGGCGCCGTCACGCTCACTTTCGACTCTGCCACGGCGCCGACACGCTTCGACTACACCGCGGGGGGGAGGGCCGGCAAGGGCGTCCGCGACCCCGCATTCGCCGCCGCCGCCGCCGCGCCGCCGGACGCGTCGCCGCCGTGTGGATCCGCGGCGTGCGGCTCGCAGGTCCGTCCGCACCGACCTCGGCTGGACCTGCGCTCGGCTCGTGCTCGGCAGACCTCGGCGGCTGGACTTGGGTTGCGCTGCGCGTCGGCTGCACCGCGGTCGCACCTCGGCTGCATCTCGGCCGCACCCTGACCGCACCGCGGTCGCACCTCGGTCGCACCTCGGCCGCACCTCGGCCGCACCTCGGCCGCACCTCGGTCGCACTTCGGCCGCACCTCAGCCGCGCTCCCTGCGTGCCTCCCCTATGCCAGGCTCGCACCCTCAGCCGGCTGCGCGGGCACGGCCCCTGGGCACTCGGTGACGCGCCCATTTCCGGCGGGCGAACCGGGTACGCCTTCTACCGCGGCGGCATGGCAGCGACGCCCGACGGAGCAGCAAAGTACCGGCCGCTTCCCGACAGCGCTGACGTGGAGCTGAGCATCGGCAGCAAGCGGGCTCTTGCTTCGTACTGGCGCGCCGCCCGTCTCGTCACGGCGGTTGGTGTTAGCAGGCGGCGACACTTTCCTCCTTCGCACCGAGGGTATCGTCGGCTGCTACCAGGTCCATGCCGTGTGGCTACGACTCGGCCACATCTCGGCCACTTCTTGGCCATCTCTCGGACACCTCTCGGCCACCTCTCGGCCACCTCTCGGCCACGTGCCGGCCGGCGAGTCGGCCAGTCGTGTCGCATCTTAGCTGTTCTCGGCCTCATCTCGTCCGGCCTTGTAACGTTCAGCCACGGTCCTGCCGCAGGTGCACGTCGCGAGGCAGCGGGACAAGCACGCCATGAAGCTGTGGGTGCCGATGCGGCACGTCTCGATGGAGTACACGGGCTGGCGCGACTCGGGGGGGTGCAAGCTGTAACGGGGGAGTTCGCGCGTTTCGGGCGGGTTGTTGGGAGTCCCAGATGGACCTTTGAAAGGCCTTTCGCGGGTGCGGAGGGGGCTTCCCCACCCCAAGCCACGTTGCGGTGTGCAGAAGGCGCCGCGAGAGGGGTAAGGCGAGTATAAATGAGCAGGGGGTATTCCCTGTTCGAGTCCGAATCTTGTGAAAAAAAGCTCCTGAGTCGCGCACGTGTTGTGGCTTGTCAGCCACACACACGTAGATTGCTTGTGGAGAAGTTTACCTTACCTTACCTTACCTACCTTGCGAGGTGCAGAGCATGCAAAAGTGCCGAATGATATGTGCGCCGCCTCGGGCGGCGCGCCCCACATTAGAGACATAACCAGTGAGCGATTGGGCGCCTCAATCCTCGCACCCCGTGGTGCGCGGCGTCGCAGCGCCACTTATGTGGCGAACACTAGCGTTGGCCCACTCGACCACTGTGTCGCTATCGCCGTCCGTGCGTAGGAAGCAGTACTCGCGCCCGCCAAAGATCGGCTCCCCGTCGCGGACGTGGCCGTCCTCCGTGCCGCACTCGTCAGGGATGGCGCGAGTGGCCATCCAGCTGCCGCTCGTGTCAAGAAGCTCGTGCGCCAGCACCCAGTCACCGCCGCGCGCCCCCCGTGAAAAGTCGAGATAGAGCTTGAGCTGGACCGCTGGCGCCCCATCGTCCGGATCTGTCGCTGTGTACACAACAAACTTGAGCCCGATCCACTCGTCCAGCGGCAGGCCGCTCGAAAGGTCGACGCCGTACGGATTGGAGGGGCCGGGTAGGCGCCGACTGGCCGAGTAGACCACGCTCGTGCCGTGATAGTACTCCTTCTGGAACGCCACCTGATGCAAGGGGGGGGGGAGTGTCGGCGAGGAGTGCTAGTGTGTGCGCGGCGCGTGGGGCAGGAAGGGTGGGCGAGAGAGGCGGCGGGTGAGAGAGCGTTGGGAGAAGAGAGATAGAGACGTCGGGGCGTGGCGAGGCGGAGGCAATACCTCTCCGGTCGTCGTGTAGATGCGCGCATAGTATCCGGGCGCAGAACAGCCGTCTGTGTAGTCTCCGTGGTTGGTTCGCGCAACCAGCGTGAGACCGGAATACGACCGAACGTCGCCATACGCGCGGTATCGACCGTACGCCGTGAACTCGATATCCTCCCATCCGCTGCCGCCGCTTCGGATGTAGAGGCGCGGCGACCTGTGAAACGTGGCGGTCCCATCACCGCCAAAGGCGACCTGCCCACTGCCCTTGAAAAAGGTCTGGGCGTCGTTGCTATCAGAATCATCCACCCTGCTGATGCTGTTTGCAGGCAGGTCCCACGAGTTGACCCAGTCTTTGGCCGGGCCGGGGAGAGCCGACGTGTACAGCTTGCGGACGCCGAACTTGTCGCAGGCGCCCGCACCGGTAGGCAAGGGCGGCCAGGGAGGAATAGCTCGCGGCGGCAGCGGCGGCGGGGGCAGCGGTGACGCCACCGCAGACGAGCAAGAGACTCCCCAGGTGCAGGCGCCAGCCGCGTTGGTCTGTTCGTGACAGTGGTCTAGTGTGCACCATCCTCTGCCCAGGAGGTTGCAGCCGCAGATCGGGTGGGCACAGGTGGAGCATGCCGATGGTGAGGGCGATGCAGAGGGTGGGAGCAACAGCGGCATGGGAGGCAGCGGCGAAGGATAGGCAGAGGGCGGCAGCGGACGCAGCGGTGGTGGCGATGCGGCTGCGGGCGGCTGCGGACGCGGCGGAGGTGGCGATGCGGCTGCGGGCGGCTGCGGTGAAGGAGAGGCAGAGGGCGGCAGTGGGAGCGGCGGAGGTGGCGACGCTACGGGCGGCTGCGGTGAGGGAAAGGCAGTGCTTGGCGGCGAAGGAGCGATCGCTGTTGGCGGCGATGGTGAAGGTGGCGGCGGCGGCCGCGGCGGTTGACGTGCTTCAGAGTCATTGAAGCAGGCCACACCCCACTGACAGCCGCTGGAGTTGTCGAGGTCGTCGTGGCAGTGCTTGGCCGCGGTGCACCAGGACTCGCCGGTGAGGTCACAGCCGCACTTAGGATGGGCGCATACCGTGCAGGCGCCCTCAGCAAGCGCCAAAACCACGGCAGCCCTCACGAATCGGATGAGATCTGTCGCCATGTTGGCCGAGCCCACCCCCCCGCCGCGCCCTCTCTTCCTAGATAACGACATCCGAAATTCGGCGCGTCTTGTCCCCTTGCAAAAGTGGGATAGGCGAGCTTGAGCACTTGAGCACAGGATAGGGTCGATTCCGCGTGGTACGGGACCCCTCGATCGTCTCGCCCTCCCTAGGCCAGACTAAAGACCCTGGTGGGAGTTCCTACCCAACGTTTTTTTTGTGTATCGCGCGCCTTGCCCTTGGGGGGGGGGGGGGGGCGCGGAAAAGAGGAACCTCTTAGCGCCATCGCCATGGCGCTGCAAGCAGCGCCGGGCAACGACGACTTACCGCCTCCTGGTCCCAATCGGCACTCCTCCGCTGCTTAATGTTTGACGACTCGAACCCGTGAAGCTTCCCCGTGCGCGCAGCGCGGGAGCAGGCGCACATCGCTTGCTTCCAGGGAGGGGGGCGCCCTTTTACTCACACCAAATCCACACGGTAGGGGGCGGGGGGGGGGGGGGGCGTTGTGATGTAACTTATTCCGGGGCCGGTGTGCGGGGAGCGAACCTTAACGACCGCCCAGAAGCTTTCTGAGCAAACCAATCGGGCCGGGATCATCAGCATATGTCCCCTCCACAACATCGTGGGTATTTGAGCGGTATTTGAGGAGCACCGCGACTCTGAAGTTCGGCCGGGTGGTCTGCAGACCCCCCCCCCCGGAGCAGCAGAGGCTCCGTGGGGTCGAAAAGTCGACGCTGGGAGTCGCACTCGTCGAACCATCGCAGCACCACGCGGTCCGCACACACCGCCCACATCCCCTCCACCGCTGAGAAGGCGCAGATCGACCGCCGGGCCGCGTAGTCGTCGTCAAGGAGCGGTTTTTGGAGCCGTACGAAGAGGTCCCAGACGGGCGAACATGCGGCTTTTCGACGACCACACGCGATGTGGTATCTGGTTTTTGCTAAAAACGGGCCGCCTAGTGCAGCATCATTAGTACAACACGCAACCTCACTGAGAGCTCCACACTAGCCGGTATAGGCGAGCACCGGCGGCCTCACCGTCGCCGCTCGGGTCGACCGCCTCGGCGTCGTCGCCGTCGATCGACTGGTAGTAGAAGCGCGCCACCGGGATGAGCGAGGGGAAGAAGGTCATATCCCGTCGGTGTCACACACACACACACACATATCCCGTCGGGCTTGCATTCGCAATCATTCACCCGGCATCAACAGGTTGGTCTGCCCTCGCCCCCGCGCTGCGCCTAGCCTCCCCGCGGCCCACTCGCCGTAACAGCTCTCGACGCTGCCAGCCCGGCGCCGGCCAGCCTCTGCGCGCCAGCCGCAGCACCTCGACTCGACGTTCGCCCGCGGCCGTCTCTCACGTCAGTCCCGTCCTGCCCTGCAGCCATGATGAAGACCATCATCGCCTTTGCTCTCGTCTCCCTCACCACGGCCGCACCCAGCGAGCTCGCGCGCAAGCCGCTCTTCTCCCCCACCAACGGCATCTGCGCAAAGCCCGATGGGTGCGATGCGCCGATCGACACGTTGGCGGAGACCGTCCAAGCCATCATTGGGGCGGCTTTGCCCCCGAACATCGTGTGCCTCACCTACTACTCGACGTGCGGCGTCATCGAGGGCCCCGTTGCCTGCATTGCCACTGCCGTCGCAGAACTCGTCAAGAACCCCGTCGGGGGGATCATCAAGTTCCTCCGCGACCTCCGCCGCTGCCTCATGGGCTCCAACGAAATCGTCGGTGACCCGATCTGCACAAAGCCCGATGGGTGCGACGCGCCCATCGACACGTTGGCGGACACCATCCAAGCCATCATTGGGGCGGCTGTGCCCCCGAACGTCGTGTGCCTCACCTACTACTCGACGTGCGGCGTCGTCGGCACCGGCGGCCCCGTCGAGTGCATCCTCGACGCCGTCGCAAAGCTCGTCGCGAACCCCGTCCTCGGCATCCCCGCGTTCCTCCGCTCGCTCTCCGGCTGCCTCGTGGGCACGGCCTTCGCGATGCCGCCGCACGATCCGGAGACGGGCATGCTGATGGGCCCGCTGGGCGACCGCTGAGATTGCCCGCCGGCCCCTGGCCCCCCGCCTGCCCACGCGTTCTCACAAGAGGCCCGAGAGCTGGCCATCGAGACCGCTCAAAGCCCTGAGAGTGCGAGAGTTCTCCGGATTGAGGGGGAGGGGACTGAGGAGTGTCTGATTGTGGAGCGCAGTCTAGCGTGGGTGCAGCGGTGGTCCTCGGAGCGTCAGCGCTCTGAGCCACGGCCGGCCCGCCGCACACCAACCTTTTGAGCTTCCGTGGCGCCCCCTTTTCTGCCCGGGCTCGGCGCGACTCCGGCCCCCACTCCTCGCGTGTGACGCTCGCAGAGGATTGTCCACCGTCCTCCCATATCTCCACTTCGCACCATCCGCCCGCGCCTCTTTCCCTCACCGTTGCGAGGCTCGGCGCTCCGGTCTCATCTTGCGTTGTTGCCCTGAGCTCTCCGGTTTCCATCCATTCGAAGACCGGCGCCTCACCTTGTGTGGGTGCGACCCATCGCGCTTGCCCTGCCCGTCATCATTCATGCATGTCCATGCATTTCCAGGCAGCTCGCTCGTCCGTACGCATTCCTGCCAATCTATTGGGCGAGGGCGATTGAGAACGGTGCCTCGGAGGGTGGCTAGCCACGCCTCTGGCAGGCTTTCAATTAATCGGCTGTATTCGTGTTGGTCGCAGGGCGGGTTTGGGTGGCAGCTTCTCCTCGAGCATGAGCCGGCAGGAGACGACTTTCTTGGCGGCGACGGAGGCGGTGGCGGTCTCCTCTTCGGCGACGCTGAGAGCCTCGATCTTGGACTCTCCGTCGAGCTCTCCGGTGGCGTGGGCGTCGGCGGTAGGCGGGCCGCGAGGCGCGGAGGAGCGGAACGGTGGCCTTTGTCCGCGCTGAAAGCTGCGCCGGCCGCCGGACGGGTCCCCGGCCCGCCTCGAGTTGGCGTCGGCCCGCGCCTTGCTCGACTCGAGAAGGGCGATCGCGTAATCGAACGACCGGTTCTTTTTGGCGGAAGGGCACATGCGTCCGGGGTGTCCGATGCCCCTGCAGTTGTGGCAGACGATCTCGACGGACTCGACAGCGTTTCCATCCTCGAGGTAGATGATATCGTCGCTTGGCGCCACGACCGTTGCCGCCACGACACCTGGGTCGGCAAGGACGAGGACGCGCAGCTGGTGCGGCTGACGTTGCCGGAGGGCGTGCCCCCAGGTGCCACGCTGCCGGCCGTGCACGTCGCGAAGGCGCGCTCGAGTCGCGAGGGCTTTGCTGGCTTCTTCGCACCGGGGTGAGTGTCCGATGCCCCTGTGTGCCCCGGAGGCCGAACCCCCTCAGCGCGCGTCGCCACAGCGCCAAGCGATCTGTCTGCAGGCTGAACGACGGGCTCACGCTGACAAAGAGGCCGTATACGTGCGACTGCAGCTGGAAGGCGCGGTTCTCGTGCCCAGGGGAGGACCGGTCGGGCCTAATGAACAGAATGTTTGGCAAGCCTGCTGCGGACGACGGCTCTGCGTGCTTCGCCTACTGCTGCGGCGGCGAGGACCACGCGCAGGAGGCGGCGAACCGCACGCTGCGGACGCGTTGGCCGCGGCCCGGAGATGCGGACGTGAGCGAGATCACGGCGATGTCGTCGGCGGCGGCAGGTGCCGCGGCGTCGCCGACGATTGTCAAGGCCGCCTTCAAGTCGGTCTTCAAGGATGTGCTTGCGGTGAGCCGCAGCAGCCCGCTCGTCTCCGAGAGTACCCGAAATTACCCGAGATTACCCGAGATTAGGCGAGCCGCAGCAACCCGCTCGTCTCCGGCCCGAGGGAGATGCTCAAGGAGCGGACGACTCCGGCGCGAGAGGCGGCAAGCCGCGAAGAGCGTTGCTTCACATGCATAGCCGTGTGCAGGTGTTTAGCATGCTCGACAAGAGGGCTTCGGACGCGCCGACTGAGGAGGAGTTCCGGTGGTGGGCGGCGGGAAAGAGCGACGATGCCTTCTTGGAGAAGCACATCGGCGAATTTGTGGACGAGTGCATGCCGCTCGGCCTCCACCACCTCGCCGTCGACGTCACGCTCAACCGGACCGAGGCAAACCGTTCGAGAATCGTACACTCCTAGTCCCACCGCCGCTCACTGGCCGGCCCACTGCTCGACGCCGACGGTACCCGACCCACTGCGCCAGGCCTCGTCGCCGCTGCCTCCGTCGGAGGAGCGGGCCTGGAGCCCCTCCTACCGCGGCATCGACGGCGTGTACGTTGACAACACCGCCCTCGCCATGACCGTCGCCACAATGATTACGGACTGCCTGGCGGGCGACGAGACCCTCGACTGCGCCGACAAGACGCTCGACGTAGTGCTCGTCAACGACGGCAACTCGGACCCCGCTGCCAACGGGCTTGGGAGCTTCTTTAGCGACACGGGCACGCCGGTCGGCACGTACCATCACACCGGCGGGCCAAAGGGCCTGGCTCTGGTCCCGTCGCAGATGATCTTTGCCGAGCCCTACCCGAAGAACTTTACAAACTACTTCACGCCGAGCGCGATTGCGGTCCCTCGGAGGGGCTCTGGCCACGCACACACGCCGCGTGCCCCTCAGCGACCTCGGAGCTCCCGCAATAGGCCATCCAAAAGTGGCTGAAGAACCCCTCCCGCCTGCCCGCCGATCTCATCTCGAGCGCGGCAAGCGGCCGTCTCAACGAGGCGACTTTCCGAGGCCGTTCCCCTGACGCGACCTCTGCCGAGAAGTCGCGCTCCCAAACCCTCTCTCGCCGGATGTCGTTGCCGCCGATGCCCTCAGCTATCGCCCCCAGCCTCGTGTGCCTGACTCTCGCCCGTCCGCCCACCATCCCACCAGGCGGTCAAGGGTGACATCCGCCGCCATCGCCAGAAGATGGAGAGGCGGGAGAGGGACATGGACTTCTCCGACAACTTCTCCTTTGCGCCGCCAGAGGAGGAGGAGGGGCTCTCCCTGAGCGACGGCCAGTCTGTCTTTGCCGCGCTGGAGGACGCGAGTGACAACAGCGACGTGGTCGCGGCCGGCTGGCAGGGAGACCCCGACGCTCAACCGCCGCCCGCGACCAAGAGGAAGCGCGGCTTCTTCCCGTGGGAGAAGGCGGAGCCGGTGCCCCCGTACAACGGCTCGAGCCTCGTGTCGGGCACCTTCACTACCATCGACAACCCGCAGTGGGGCGTCCGTGCGGGCTGGAAGGCGCGCTGTCCCGGGGAAGCACACTACGCCCGCCTCGCCTCCAATCAACGCCCCTGCGCGGCAGGTCAATCTTCTCGTCTTCTGCCTTGCCTATCCGCAGGACCCGCTTCTCCAGGTGACACTTGCACAGCCACTACCCTCTGCCCACAGCGCCTGACGCCCACCGTTGTCCCCAGTCGGGCGTCGGCTTCTCCAACGACCCGATCATCCTGCCCGCGCTCACCGCGGCCACCTTCTTCGACACGCTCTACGAGCCCATCGCCAGGCGCTGCGGCGTAGTCTCGGCGAGGTGTGCGCGGAGGGAGCGCCCTGACTTGCTCACTGGGCACGCACCTTGTCTGGTAGGGGCGAGGTGGAGCGGGCGACGCCGCACCTCACTCGCTGGCTACACGAGCGGAGCGTGGAGCGCGCCACGAACAAGCGAGCTGAGCGGGAGCGGACGAAGGAGGAGTCGGCGGCGTAGCTTCCGTGAGGCGCTTTAGGCTGCGAGGCCAAGCGATGTGCCCCGACAGCGGGCTGTGAAACTTGGCGGGAGAAGTGCGGGCGTGCACTCTGCACATCTAGTACGGCTTTGGAGGAAGAGCGCTTAAGACTGTCAACTTCAGCCGTTCAGATCAGCTCTTGGCCCCAGATGTGTGCATCTCGAAGCGCAGCGTGTGGCTGTCGGCAGTTTTAGGTTGCCAGGTTGTGGAGCATGGGTCGTGTGTGTGTGTGTGATGACAAGACAGATCTCAGAGATGAGTGACGGAGAGGTGAGAGTGGGTGGTCAAATGACAGTGGAAAGCTTTTCATGGACAGTGTGTGACAAAAACGATCAGGAACATTGATGGCGCCAGCGCCTGCTGTTGACAAGTGTCAAGTGGGTGTATCGCGCGCCTTGCGGGGGGGGCGCGGAAAAGAGGAACCTCTTAGCGCCATCGCCACGGTGCTGCATGCAGCGCCGGGCGACGACGGCTTACCGCCTCCCGGTCCCCCTCGGCACACCATCCGCTGCTCAATGTTTGACGGCTCGAACCCGTGAAGCTTCCCCGTGCGCGGGTTACCCCGCACACGGGTCAGCCTGCCAGCCACGTATCCACACAAGCGTGGTCCGCGTGCATGGCATACAGGCGTCCGCCAGACAGCGCAGAGGCTAGGCGACCGGGGAAGGACTAGCTCAAGTGGGGAGCACTCGCTTGGCTCGTAGAGGGAGCGGACCCTGAGTTGAGGAAATCCGGGGACGCGACCCACCTCGCCACAGACGGTCCCGCGCCTCGCCGCTATGACGGGCACACGCCCCGCACCGTCCGCTGTGTGCCCGTCTTTGTCCGGAGTGAAAAGTCCAACGCGCTCGTCGGTGGCGGCGTCCCCGGATTTCGCCGCGCTCGGCGAACCTCGACAGCGCTTTCGGTGGCATGCAGCTCTTTGCGACAGAAGCCTGGAGAGCAGCTCCTCTGCTGCTCACACGCTCTGCACAGTTGGCACAGCCTACTGTGCGGCTGCCACAGCTGTGACAGCGATGGGCTCGCCCTCACTGGCCCTCAGTCACTTGTGCTGCGGCTTGTGTGAGCGACACTGCTCGGCGACTGCCGGCACACTGTGAGACCATGGGTGTGAGGTAAAACCACGCTACCAGCGCTTGGTCACATCGGCCCCGAGGTCAGATCCATCTACTCTGTTGATGACAAGACTTGTCTACTGGCTGGAGCCGAGCAGGAGGGCCCAGCGCACAACCCCTGGCCAACTCAGGGTCCACACCCCGTACGAAGGGAAGCTGCCCCCGGCCGACGTCTTGTGACGGGAAACACGAAAACTCCTCCCAACAAAGAGGCCAACGGACCCGAGAACGATCTAATCGAGCGGCTTCAAGGCCGGTACACGGCTCTAGTGGACCAAGTGTGTTAGGCGTAAGCCGTATCGCGCGCGGACATAGCAGGAGAACCAGAGAGGCCCAATGACGCGGCAGTCCCTCACACGCTATGTGTTGCGGCCCTCCGCATCCGCGCGCTCCTCCTAGTCGCGGTTCGAGCCTCCGCCGCCGCTCGCGCCGCTCGCCGGGGCGCCCGGCGTGCAGTACTCCGGCACATCCATGCCCCACGAGAGCTTCGCCTTTGCCGGCGCCTGCAGGTGTGAGGGGGGGGGGGGGGGGGGAGCAGCGCTGCTGCCGTGCATGGCGCTGACAAAAGGGCCTTGTCTTGTGGCAAACACCCCCAAGTCCCCGTGCGGAGTGAAGCCGCGTCTCCTGCCGCCAATCGCTCGGGCAGGGAGAGGGGTCCGATCTATGGAATGGAGTTCTGCTTACTGCTTTGTGTGGAGGGTGGCATCCGCGCGAGATGGAGGTTGCAACGCGTGTGGTGTGAACGGCGCCTCGTCGAAGCCGCGGTCGAGTCGCGACCCTGCGTCATATCGAGCACAAGCTCAGAGTCGTGATCTCCCCATATCTCCCCATATCTCCCCATATCTCCCCATATCTCCCCCCCTGCGTCATATCGAGCACAAGCTCAGAGTCGTGATCTCCCCATATCTCTCCATATCTCCCCATATCTCCCCATATCTCCCCCCCTGCGTCATATCGAGCACAAGCTCAGAGTCGTGATCTCCCCATATCTCCCCATATCTCCCCATATCTCCCCATATCTCCCCCCCTGCGTCATATCGAGCACAAGCTCAGAGTCGTGATCTCCCCATATCTCTCCATATCTCCCCATATCTCCCCCCTACGCCATATTGAGCACAAGCTCAGAGTGGTGAGATCGCAGTGTACCGAACGTGTGCGGTGATATTCGAGATATGGGGAGATATGGGGAGATATGGGGAGATATGGGGAGATATGGGGAGACGCCTCCCGCATCTAGAGCTGCTGTCCGCGCTTGCGGCCGGCCTTGCACGCCGCGTCGGGGTCGTCCGCCAAGCAGCACCTGTTCAAACATGGGGCTGCGACTCACCGCCCTTTTGGAGTGCACCCGGGGCAGCGAGCGAGCGAGGTCAGCACCTGATGAAGGGACCATTCACTGTTCCACCGCTATTACGGGGTGCTTCCCGCTCCTCCGGGCAGGCAGCGCCTATTGTACGACCACATCAAGTATCAACCACCACTTCATCGAGTGCACCCGCGTCCTCGGGGCGCGCACCCCTTCTTGCACGTCTCCGGGGGGGCGTACGCCGCGAGCCGCTCCACGTACTCGAGACGGACCTGATAGTGAACAACTGGGGTAAGGTTGAAGTATGGACCACTAGCCGCTCCAGGTAAGCCGGACCTAATCGTCAAAGTTAATGAGTTAAGTGTTGAATCACTAGCCGCTCCACGCACTCGAGACGGACCGCGCTGGACGCCGCACAGAGCGGGCAGCAGAGGGTCGAGCCGGCCATCGACTGTTCACGCGAGCTGGCCGTGAACAGACGCTGTTCACAGCGGGCGGCCGACGCGCCGAGCCATCGCCTTGGCGGCCATGTCGAGCTGAAGGCGGTCGTTCGAGAGGCTGTCCCACTCGATCAGCACCGAATCTCCCTCGAGGCGGTACGAGAAGGTGCCCGGCCGAGACGGGCAGACGAACCGGCCGTCCGCGCGGAACTGAACCAGCAGCGGCTCCTCGTCGCCCGAGCGCAGCCGCCACACCGAAGCAGACACGAGCGCCTCCTGCGGCGTGAAAGCGCGCAGAAACCGCATCTTTCGCCAGTCCGACTCATTGCCGCGCGCCCCGCCCGCCAGCGCGTCGCCCGAGAGGCGGAGGACGTACTCGCCATACTTGCCCCAGTCGATGGCGAGAGTGCCGCCGGAAAACTGCCATGTCGCCGGCGCAGCGAAGCGTGGGCACCAAAACTCGCCGCCCGGGCGCAGCTGCACCTGCGAGGAATATTGCGTCGTGGACGCTGCGGCGTCAGTCGCACAAATCGGGCACAGAGGAAGCGGCTGAAGGGACTGCGCTGAGGCGCGAAGTGGCGGCGCCGCCACTTGCGGTGGGGCGCGAAGTGCATGAGGAGAGAGGAGGGAATTTGGCACCTCGAAGGTTCCACCGCTCCACTCGAACGCGTAGTACCCGGTGGGCAAGGACATGGTGCGAGCACGCTCTGCACTGAGAGAGGACTGATGCACAATGGCTGCAGGGTTCGAGGCGTTTGGGGGTAGGGTAGGGGCTCGACGTGGCCTTAGTGTTGTGTCTGTGTGTCGCTCGTGCGTGTCGTCATCATCTGTCTTGCGTCCACCCATACCGCGTTGGTGTCCAGTCCGAGCCTGGCTGTTCTTCACCTTTCTACCTACCTACCTACCTGATGTGTACGCCCACTCAGGGTGTGTGGCAGCCCGCTGGCTGTGTGTCTTGTGAGCATCTCCACCCTCGCCATCGCCGCCCTCCCCGCCGCCACCGTCGCCGCCGCTGCCTTGGACCGGCGGTGAGAAAGACGTTGTTCTCGATCGTTGCGGTAGCACCGCCCCCTCCCTCGCCGTCGCCGCCCTCGCCGCCGCCGCCAAACCCATCTAAAGTAAGGAGGTGAATTCAACCCGGGGCGCCGCCCCCCCCACCTGCAATTCCACCGACAACCCCACCGGACGATTGCGACTTCTGCGGCGCCGCCATCGCCGTCATCGTCGTCCCGCCCTCGTGGTCATGCTGGCCGCAGCCCTCGCTACCGGCCTCGCCCTCGCCTATCGCGCGCAGTGCCGCGCGCCTGTGAGGCGCGAATGCTGGCGCGGCCCCGCCCCCCGCCCCCCGCGGCGGTGTCTGCAGTGGCGCTCGAACCGCTGCCCGTGAGCGAGAGCCGTCAGCAGTGGTTCGAATCGGCGACGGCACGCTCGCCGGCCAGCTGGCGACGAGCGAGGGCGACGCCGCGAGGGCGGCGGGGCTCGGAACGGGGGCGCCGTGTCCCGTGAGCTACTCCGATCCTTCACCTTTCACAGCTGTCGGCAGCTCGAGCCGCACTTACTGTGACGTGAAGAAGGAACTGGTGCGCGTTTTTTTGGCACAAGTAGGTAGAAAGGTGAGGAACCGGGGGTCTGGTTCGCGAGGGATACCCTACCCCGAGGGACCCTGAAACCCGAAGCGAAATGCTCGCGGTCGTGTGTGTCTCGCGCTTTGGCGTCGCCGCGCTTCCGCTCTCGCTATCCCGCGCTCCGGTGCGCCTGTCTCTGCGAGCCCTCCGCTCCAGCGCCGCGGCGATGGCCGGCACGGCCTCCGGCACCGTCGAGACGGCCGAGTTTGAGGTCGACGGCGAGATTGTGCGGGCAGAGCGGTTTGTTGAGGCTGACGTCGGCATGACGTTCAGCAAGGCGTCGCTTGACGAGAAGCTATTCTCGCGCCCCTGGCCGGACGAGTGGCCTTTCCCGCCGCAAGCCTTCCGGCGGCAGGACGAGTCGGACGACGCCGACTTCTACGCCGTGCCTCGCTTCTGCTACCACATCGACGAGGGCGCGGTGCGCGCGCTCACAAACTACTACGCGGAGAACATCGCGCCCGGCGCCGCGATCCTCGACATATGCAGCTCGTGGGTCTCCCACTACCCGGCCGACTTCCCAGACACGATGGGCCGCATCGCCGGCACCGGCATGAACGTGCACGAGCTGCGGTGCAACGCGCAGCTGTCGGAGCACTCGCCGAGAGACCTGAACGCCGACCCGACGCTGCCGTACGAGGACGGCTCGTTCGACGTCGCCACGTGCGTGGTCAGTGTCGACTACCTGAGCAGGCGGAGATATGGGGAGATATCGGGAGATATCGGGAGACAGATGGAGAGGTGGCCGCACTGGAGCGACACACGCTCCCACAGAGGAGAGCAGCCCGCCAGCTGGGCTGCTACCCACATCCTCGAGGAGTGATTATGATTCTCATATTGTGTTCTTGTTCAGGCCGCTCGAGGTATTTCGCGAGGTGCGGCGCGCGCTCAAGAAGCCCGGAGGCTAAGTTAATTATCAGTAATTAATTATCACTACTCCGCCTAGGTGCGGCGCGTGCTCAAGCCCGGAGGCAAGTTCATCCTCTCGCAGTCGAACCGCTGCTTCCCCACCAAGGCGCGCCTTGACATGAGATGAAGATGAGGCCGAGATGAGGCCGAGATGTGGCCGAGATGCAGCTGAGATGCGGCCGAGATGTGCTCGCGGCAGCCTCGCGGAGATGTGGCGGAGATGCAGCTCAGCGATGGCCGAGGTATGGCCGACGTCGGAACTAGAGCTTGCCGAGATTGGGCGAGATCACGGCCACTTCCTGTGGCATGCGGCCGCTGGCTCTTCACACCCGCCCCGGCCGTGAACAGGCGATCGGCATGTGGCTGGGGATGGACGACCTGCAGCACTGCCTCGTCATCGGCTCCTACTTCCACTACGCGGGCGGCTTCTCGCCCGCGCGCGCCTTCGACTGCAGCCCGACCGGCCCAGGCACCAACGACCCGCTTTTCGTGGTGGAGGCGACCAAGCTGTGACCCGTGCGAGCTTTCTGTTTCTTTAATATCTATTTGCCGCGGAGCGCGGGCCAAACAAAAAAAAAGGCGCCCTGCACTCGACGCGGGACGTCAACAGACAACACAAGAGAACACGTGCAGGTAAGGTAAGCTAAACTTCTCCACACACACGAGGTGGTGCTGGTGGGGCAAGGGCGGGGCAACCCTCGCGCGTCTCCACGTCTAACGACAGGAGCCCCACGGCTTGGTGGACTGCGTCCCTGCCGACCCTGTAGCTACGGCTCTAGACGCCAGTGAACAGTGTACTTTGCCAGCCAGCCGCTTAGGACAAAGAGATAGTGATAGAGCGACCGGAGAGGGATGTCTAATACAGTCAAAACGACGCGCGACTCAGATGCCCACCGGCTGCCTCGTGTGCGGAGCACCTCAGAACGGAGCACTCAGTGCACCACTGACAGCCGCCTGCTGCCTTACCGCGCTCAATAAAGGCGTCGAACTCGACATCAGACAGCGCGTCAAGGTGTGTGTCACAGTGCGCGTCGCAGTGCGCGGCCGCCATCCGCTTGCAGTGCTCGGCCGCGTGGCGCAGCTGGAGGCGCGCCTGCTCGGTACTCTTGCGCAGGTCCAAGCACACGTACACCAGCGGGCGGCGGCTCCCGGAGAGCACGACTCGACGCAGAAAGGGCTGCGCGGGGTAACGCCCTCCGCTTACCTCGACCGTTGCGTCGGCCGACAAACCAGCTGAGCTTGCATGGACGTTCCTCAAAGCCGCCCACAAGGTGCTGCGAGCAGACGAGCAGATCGGCGTCTGCTTCTTTTGCGACGCGGCCGACGAGCTGGAGGCGTGCGCTGGAGTTGCCGAGAAGCGCATAAAGCTGGTGAGCGTGCTCAAGCAGGTGTGGGCGGTTGAGGTCGGCCCGTACGTGGAGCTGCACTGCGTTGGGGAGAGGTGGAGGCTGGACGAGGTGAAAGCAGCGTGGGGTAAAATGGTGCACGACATCGCCGACGATGCTCATTTTGATGCGGCGGCAATAGCGGAAGAGGCAGCGGCGGCAGCGGCAGCGGCGGCAGAGGCAGCGGCGGCGGAGCAGGTTCGAAGAGAGCCTGAAGCGGCAGAGGAGCGAAGCGCTAACTTCATCAGCTCCTATCGGTGCCTCCTATCGTGCGGCTCAGTACTCGGACGCGTTGGCGATGCGAAAAGGCTGCACACGGTGCACGCACGCGGCGGGGGGTGGATGGGTATGCATGTCGAGAATGATGGTGTCGGCTGGGTGCCGTTGCAGGTGGCGGTCGGCGGTAAGCACGTGTGGATGCTCCAGCACGAGGGGCGCCTCTTCAGGTGCGGCTTTTATCGCGGGGACTGGAGTCATCATGACCCGCCCGTCGAGGAGGCAAAGCCGCCAGGCGGCTCGGAGGCATCGCAGGTGGCGTGCGGCGGCTTACACACGTGGGTCCTGTGCAAGGATGGGAAGCTCTTCTCGCGCGGGTGCAACGACGAAGGCCAGCTTGGCCGCCAGGGCGACACGTGGTCGCTGCAGGAGGTGACCGGCCTGCCTAGCGACGTGGTGGCGTCGCAGGTTGCGTGCGGCGGTTATCACACGTGGGTACTGTGCAAGGGAGGGCAGCTCTACTCGTGCGGCCGCAACGGCAAAGGCCAGCTGGGCCGCCAGCAGGAGGGAGGAGAGGAGGAGGGAGAGGAGGAGGAAGAGGAGGCAGGGAGAGGAGGAGGAAGAGTAGGAGGAAGAGGAGGAGGGAGAGGA